CCCTCACACCCGGGATACAATCTATTTGAACTCCTCCCCTCTGGACGGCGTTACAGGTCACTGTGCACTAAGACAACCAGGCACAGGGACAGTTTCTTCCCCCAGGCCATCACTCTGATGAACACTTGACCAATGACAGTATGATTGGACAATAAACCCCAGTGCAATACCTGTAAATATACCTCATACAGATTATACAGATCTGTACAGGTCTCTAGTTCTAAGTACTCTATTTTTATTCCTATTTATTTCATTTTAATGGGCATTCCATTCCAAGCTCTGGAACTCTCTACCACCAGAGCTACGGTCCATAACTGAGCTGGCCTCTTTTAAAGTAACTCTAAAAACTCATCTCTTTAGGCAGGCCTTCGATACTTAATCCGTTCTTGTTGTTTTATGCTATTTATACTTCAATATGGAGTTTTCTCTCTGTTTTTAAAGTCTGTGTTTTATTTTATTTGAGGTTTTCTTTAGTGTTTTTAACCGTTTCTTATTGGAGTGTGCATGCCCTGCTGTGAAGCACTTTGTGCTCCTTTCGAGTTGTAAAGTGCTATATAAATAAAAGTATTATTATTATTTGTATGCATTGTTTACTGCCTGTTTATACTGCTTATTTTGCATTGTTTGTTGCTTGTTAATACTGTTTATTTTGTTATATTACACAGCCTTATGCTGGTTTACTGTTTACTTGCCCCTTGCATGGGGAGTCAAATTCCTTGTGTGTCCGACACACCTGGCCAATAAAGCTGATTCTGATTTGATGATGATTCTGATTATACCCTGCACAAAATAGGTACACACCCTACAGGTCTTTGTCCACACTGTAGTCAGATAGAGACTGTAGAGCATGTCCTGTTCATATGTAGTGCTTATAATGAGCAACATGCTCGAACGATAGCAGTACTGGAACAAAAGATTACTAATATATCACTAGAGAGTCTTTTGGGCAGCAATTGTAGGACATATAAAGCTGCGGGTCCCTTTGAGGCTGGTTTGACTGGTTTCTACGGGAGACAGAGACAAAGCATGATTCAGATGGAAATATATATATATACATTAGCGCCGTTGCCTCACAGCGAGAAGGTTCCGGGTTCGGGCCCCACCTGGGACCTTTCTGTGTGGAGTTTGCATGTTCTCCCCGTGCTTGCGTGGGTTCTCTCCGGGTGCTCCGGCTTCCTCCCACTGACCAAAGACATGCAGCTTAGGTTGATTGGTGTCTCTAAATTGCCCATAGGAGTGTGTGCGTGTTTGTGTGGTTGTTCGTCTATGTGTTAGCCCTGCGATGGATTGGCGACCTGTCCAGGGTGTACCCCGCCTTCGCTCGCTTGCCGGCCGGGATTGGCTCCGGCCCCACCCGTGACCCCGTTCAGGGACTAAGCGGTAGAAAATGAATGAATGAATGAATGAATGAATATGAATATATGTGTGTGTATTCCTACGGCTCTATTATCGTTCCACACTCCAGCCCAGCAGGTGGCGGTAATGCACCTTAGGTTGGCTTGCAAATCGCCAATAAACGCCATAAGAAGTAGAGTCACAGCAGTCCTTTAGCGACTTTGGTCACATTCTCTGGATCAAGTCAAAATTTTGCAAAAGCTGCTGTAACATTTACAGCACCCAATCGGAACACGGGTAGCACCTCTTCAAATTTTTGTTAACCAAAAATGTACCAACACAGCATTAACAGGGATTCCGGTACTTGTGTTGTAGACGTGCAGCTCATCCACGAACACCACCATCAGCTCCTTTATGGCTACCGCTCTGTGTCCGTGCCGGGGATGCGGCACAGGACGCGCTTCCAACGTGGTTGCAGCACGGCTGGCGTCGCAGGGTCGGATGCTATGACAGCGTTATCAAGGTGCAGTCCTCAATGAGGGATAACATCTACACTGAGTTGAGAATTGTGGCAAAGTTTTAAAATATCCTCTGGCGCGCTAGCAACGTTAGCCCGCTAACTAGCCGGTTAATTTGACGAAACCTGTGAAGCTAGCTAACCTTAGCTAACGAGGAGAAAGTTCTTCTGCGTGTGATGTTGGGCTGCCTGCCTCGGATTCAGTAACATATTAAACAGAGGGATAACTGTTCTCCTGTAGAGATCCAATGTATGAATCTAAGAGGGGCCACTAGTGTTAGTTATTCCAGAGACGGCAGCTAGCAGTCCGCCATTTTAGCCTGGTGAATGCTGTACACAATTGGTAGAAAGCCGCCGGTAGCTGCTCAGGCTAACAATATCAGTAGAAACCCAAATGCATATCCAGCTGCTGATGATTGTACTGCACCAGTGTCAGAGAGCACAGTAGAAGGTAAAAGCTGCTGTTAAATATGCAAAGCAGAGAGTCTGTGCGCCAGGATGAGAGCCGCCATCTTGCTGCTAACAGCAACCAAACAAAACATAGCCGATGGAAATGGCAGAGGAGCGAGGGGGCTAACTACTAGCAGTGCGGTCGGATGGTTACACACAGTGTCGGGCAACATAAATTAAAACAGTCTCATGCTGTTTAATTCCGAAAAACACTTAATAATGACTGAAAAGACTGTCCCTGTAAGTGCACCTGTCAGCTAACAGAGGGTGTCTTGTTTATATCTAGGGATAACGTCATTGGACCAAGATAAACAACAGAAAATTAATAGATGAATTAATCAGTTAATGTATTAAAGTTGTTTTTCCCCCCTCAATTCTGTGTGGTTGAGCTTCCCAATAACTGTCTACAATAATGTCTACAGCAGGTAAAAAATGAATTCAAGACCTCTGTCCATTAAATTTAAGACTTTTTAGAAACATCTAAGGCCTTCTTTTAGGGACATGCATTTTAAGACTTAAGGCCTGCAGATAGATACCGTGCAAACTTAGCCAATTCAGCCCAGAAACAGACCCAGATACGCTCTTCGCTTATTTGTCAACAGATGAAACAAAGCCGTCTATACTCTAAGTCTTTACATCACTATACATGACATCTTTAACAAATTATAGTACATTTTATCTGATAAACCGAGCTTATTCAATCGAAGATTTGTAAGACTTCAAGACGACTGAGTGAACTGTTAGGTTATTTTTTAGTTAGATAGATATTCAGAGATTTGTTGTCTATGAATGTTTAGTGCAGACAGGGTGACTAGCTTAGGCTGTTAACTGTTCAGCCTGCAGTGCAGACATTAATATTGTATAGCAATGCTTGGTTCGGGGTCTTTTCTGTTTCCGGGCTGCTTTGGCAGCCTGGGGGTTGGAAGATCTCTGGACTGGAAGTGTGAATTCTTGCCTGTGACTCTTTGAATAAACCAGCACGGTTATATTTTTTATATACTCAAGTGGTCTGAGTCGTCCCTCGGAGTTCCTGGTTTGAAAGAACCGGATGAGGCTTTATAATGGTTTTCAGCCTTTAGAACTCTAAAGAACTATCACTGTAGTTTACAGTCAGCACAGAATACTGATCAGTCCAACTACAGAAAGTTGTAGAACAGCTTAAAATTTTCTAAAATGTAAAAGGTAGTGCTTCATAGAAAAATACACAAAACACAGTTTGGACTAATCAACCTTTTTTTTTTAGTTTACGAATCAAAAACTGTCACCCGTCCTCTGGTATTCGTTTGCCCACTTCGACTATGTTGTTTTAAACTTAATAATGTCGTTGGTCCACAGACAGAAAGGAAAAAACATCGTTTGAAAGCACAAAACTGCGTTGTTGTTCTACATTCACTCACATAATCATATCTCGTCTTGAAACATCACTGAGCTGTTACAGTAGATTACTAGCAGCAGATTCAAATTTCCCAAAGAGCTCATCATTTCTTCTGCTGTCCAGCAGGTAAATACAGATGATAAACACACCTGGGTCCAGTTTCTGGGCTAGCAAATAGCGATTCGACACCACAGGCGATTACACACAGTATCGTTTTATTTTCTTCAGTCACTTTGTTAAAACAGTTAAATGAAAAATGGAACTAGACTCTGGTTATGCTGCATTCACATACTCAAATGCTAATCATCTTAGCTAACTTGCTCTGTCAGGAAAGAGCTTATCCTAACCCCACACGGCTAGGATAATACTAGTTAACTTGTCTATGTTCTAAGTAGCCCATGTCCCAGCTAAATTAACAAACATATCTTTGCATCAAATAGTTTGTGTCCCCACATCAACAGGGAATATTAGAGATGCGTTTTAAATTAACGCAACTAAGCAGCTAGTTAAAAGTTAAGACTTTTAGCAACGTGTTGCTCGTTACTTAGCATTAGTATTGATTAGTGGCTAACGTAACTGACGGGGAACGAAGTTTTAAAACTATTCTGTACAAAGCTAACGGTTGTAGGTTATAACTGTCGCTCAAGTTCATCAGTCGGACCAAATGACTTCGTTAAAAAGAAAGAGCTCAGGCTAACATTTGGTTAGCATTGACGGTGCCAGTTTCCCCCTCCCTCAACAAGCACGACGGCTCAGGGTCGTCACATGTTATAATAAGCCGTAAAATAAAGAGGAGCGTTCAGTTCTGTTCTTCTACACACTTTACTTGCTCACGAATATCGTTAAGTTACAGTTAAATTCTGTGATGCTAAACTAAAAAACTCGGACGGTTTCAGCATAAAAACTAATTCCGCTCAGGAAGACGCCATTTTCTTCCCAAAGCTGAGTGAGCAGCGGAGCGCAGAGCCCCGGTTTTCATTAAAACTACAGACTTATAAACCTAACTTTCTTATTCACTGGTGGCAAGTTCAATCATAGCCTATAGTTTACTTATACTAACGTGTGTGTGTCTGCAGGTTATCACAGTAAATATTTACAGCTATTTAGTGACAACTACATTTAGTGATGGTCAAACGAGGCTCCATGAAACTGTGAACCCGTTTGGACCATTGTATTGAAAAGTGGTTCACTACTGGAAGCTTCACATGGGTGATATCTGCTGGCACAGTGGTTGGAGTACAGCCAACCAAAGGTAACGCTGATGCACCTTGCATGTAAGTTTTGTTGCATTGTGAAATGACTTAAATAAAGCTGAAATCTAACTTCATTTTACACGTCTGTCGTTTTTCTTTCTTGCCTTATAAATTATCTTAAATGAAGTGTTAACTACCTAAGAAATCTTTCCCAAAGAATTTGAAATATTTTAGGGTTCAATGAGGCTGTGGATGTAATTGTTATTATAATATGATATACTATATGTTTTGTGATTGTGCTCGGTGTACACTGGGTGTGCTTAAGTGACTTGGACATTTTTATTCAAAAATAGTTTCTCCACAGTAGATGGGTTTTAGTCGATTTCACTTTTTTGAGACTATATTACCCCACTTCTGATCGTGTTTCAAAGCTCTGCCTATCCAACCAAACCAGTCAGCTGATCCGGTCCGAATGAAGCAAGGAAGTGGTTTGAACGTCATCAGTCACGTGGTTTTTCCTGATTTGAAGCAAGCTCAGACACAGTGCTTCACAAAAATATCCCGTGGAGTTTCAAGCATGTTTTGGAGCCTTGGTATCAGAGGGAACATCACTAACTACATTATCTTTTGGGATTGTCCAGAATTAAACGATATCCCATTTTACAGAGATCGCAGCAAATTCCAAGTATTTTAAACCTTTAGCAAAGAGTTTTTTGATTAAACTGAATGAAGTTTAAAAAGCCAGCAGGCTGCCGTTCCTCTGTTCATTTTACACAGCTGCTGGTGCTGTATCCCGGTATTGAGGTATGATATTTATTATGAGGTCTGACGGTCCATGAAAACAAAACAAACAGGCTCATTTCATTTGATATATTTAGGAAATTACAGAACAAACATACACTTTAAAACATGATATATAATGTATTTTAGCGATTTATGACAAATAATTACAAATAATGAAATGTTTCTCTGAATTCCAGAGTAAAACAGATGTGAATAAATAGTCTTAAAACTGCTGTGGCTATTTTCACAGTGATGCTGATCAACAATAAATTACCACTGGGTGTCATACTTTCATGTAAAGCTCTGATTTCTGGGTGTGATTGATTTGTATAAACTGCTGCTGATTTTCAGTGTAATGGAGAGAAATGTTTGGCTTGTTTCACGTTGATTTCTTCACATTAATGTAGAGAAAACATGAACACTATGGTGAGGAGACAGACTTTTTTCAGATTATATGATTTGTGTTTGCATTTCTAAAATAGTACCAGTTTATCAGAGAACCGTTTCTCTTTTCAGGCAACACTTAAGGAGTCAAACCTCTATAACCTGCAACACAGCATGGAGTTTCAGAGCCACCTGTAGGTTGACATCTGGCAGTTTATTCTACAGACATTGTGATACAAGTTCACAGAGTGCATCAGACTCGGTCACTCTTCATCTTTGGTCCTTATGAATGAGACATCATCCTGTGCAGGTTTCTGCTGGGTCATTTGTGTTTGGCAGGAAGATAGTCCAGCTCATCGCTCTCCTCTGGTCCTCTGGACATCACAGAACTCTTCTCTCCATCTGAGGAAATACATGAGATAACAGATGGGATGAAATGAAAAAAAAATACCAGATGAGATTAAATTAAATGTGAGAGGAGATGGAGGTAGAAAGTGGAATAAAACTAGAGACAAAAAATGCGACACATGAGATCAAATAAAAAAAAAACTGAAATAAGGAAAAACGTGACGTTGGAGGTTAGAAAAAATGAGATGTGAGGAGGCCATAATGCTAAATGACAGGTGACAAAAATAGGAGCTAATAGAAGAGATTAGATAATCAGTGGCATGGCGACATATAATCACATATATGCCTTTAGATAAGAAGTAGAAAGCAGCATTGATGGTTACTCGCATTTACTGTGGTAATATACAATATGCAGTAGGCACACTTAATTAACATTTCCTTAACCATACTGAATGTGATCCAATGTATGATTGCGCTGAAGAAATACATTTAAACATGCCAAAACAGTGCAAATGCAACTAGGTATTTGGCCGGGTAGGTCGATGTTTGCATCACTGATTAAACAGGCCTGCTAAAAGCTACAAGGTTAGCTAAGGCATTTTCTTGTTTGCTTTTCACAGAGGAGATATTTGAAATTACTCTTCAGTGAGTCAGTCAGTGTTTCAAAAACATAATCTAATAACAGACCAAGCCAGAATAATAACTTCACATTCACTTATTTACAGCAAATTTGCGATGACATGTTACATAATCAGTAACGGTAAAAAGTCCAATTGCCCTGTACCAGTTCAAAGCAGCATCTGCTGTTAGGGAGCGGTACCTGCCAGTGGAGAGGGAGTGGCATACCACTTCAAAATTGCACCTCAGCTTACAACACTGCCTTATTTCAAAATATAGCCAATTACTTATAGAAATTTCAACATGTTGATCTGTATTGGGAATATGCTGAAATAATTGTGACGCACTGGAAGGTTTTCAGACCCAGTAATGAGCACAAGGTCCCAGCTGGAATAAAGAAGCCGTTAATTCTCAGTAATCTTTCATGAAACTCAGTGGCAGGCAGGACAAGGACTGTGCTGCAGCAGCTCTGCGTAAATCCAGATTCACCGAGTCCTTCAGTTCTCAGTAACTACGTTCAAACTGGTGATTTACTAACTCAAGTTAAAAAGTCGGAGCTGGTAACCACTTTCATTCATGTGTGAATCACTTACAGTTTTATAGACTCAAACATCTGTGGTTAGTCAGTGTGATGCTTTTAGTTTCATGTGTCTGCAGACAGAAATGTGTGCTTCAGGTGGTTTTCACAGTTTAATATTTCACATTCAAAGTCCCGTTCCGTAACTGTTGTAGATGAGCCTTTAATGTGAAAACATATCAGGAAATGTAAAGTTTTGTTGACAGCAGCCCAGCATTAATCAGGAGCACAACAAAGATGAGGAATATGAACATATGTACTAAAGTCCAAATGTTTTTTGCAGCGTGGTGAGTCTGACCTGACACTGTGGAACCTTTGATGTCTGATATCTGACACAAAACCAGTTTCTGAACATATAAAACAATGGTCTGGCCCTTTAACCAGCTGTGACGTACCTGAGCGCCCTGGTGACGATGACTGCAGGGACTCTGCAGGAGAGAGGCATTCTGGGACACCGTTTGGTGCTGCTGTGACCCCTGCTGTGGTCTGCCCTTTATTGTCTATTGCCCCAGCTCTAGACCCATCACGGGTGCTTCTAGGCTGTGAAGGCAAGTTGTACTGATAATCAGTGGGGTCAGAAGGCTGGCAGAACTGAGACTCTGTGGGCCCAGCTGGACAGTGATACTGGTCTCTGTTGGACAGGAACTGAGACCTGGAGCTGATCACATTAGATCGGAACTGGGAGTTAGGGTTGTACTGGGAGAAACCCCGACTCTCGTCGGTTTCACACGGACCAATGAATGAGGAAGAGGGGTGCAGGGAGGAGGAGGAGTGGAGTGGGTGAGGAGGGGTGAGGGAACAGAAGGAGGAAGAAGGCAGTTGGGAGGGCTGGTAGGTGTCCTCCAAAGGTCCCAGTTTGGACAGCTGGTTGGACAGAGCTGCAACACTGGAGTCCAGGGAGCAAGGGGGTTGGGGGAGTGACCCGGAGTGGGTGTGAACATGAGGAGGGTGATGGAGGGGGGAGGAGGAGCTGGCCTTCCTCACCATGTTGTGGATGTCCTGAAGTTTGTTAAACACCTGAGGGGAAACAGAAGAGGATCCAGGCAGAAGCCCTGAGGAACACCAGACCACCTTAAACCAAACTAACTACTTTTTAATAAAATATACTGTAAATAAAGTGGAAATAAATTTTCAGTGGGACTTTTTACTCACAAACTTTGAAAAAGGTTTGTGAGTAAAAATGAAAAGTAATTTTTGTCATTCATCACACGCACACAACTGGAAAATTTGTTGAATTCATTTTGAATCCAGTGAAAACTGCTTGTTGCTGGTTGCCTGTGCAAAGTTATATTTGTACAGTTTGTTTCCACCTTCATTTGCTAAAGGAACAAAGTTTCTCTGTTCTCACCTTACAGCTCAGTTTCACCCCTGGATGTACCTGTACGATTCATGACATCACAACTAGTTTTGTCCAATCACGGTGCAGTATGGAACTGACAAGGTGTGATGTCACAACTATTCAGCCTTGAAACGAACAATACTGACATATTCAGACCCACTAAATGATTCCATAAATATCAGTCATATCATCACCTTGGCTTACACTGCATGGTGATGACCTGTTTACAACTGTATACTCCAGGTCCCTGTCAGGAACTCTCATAAGGTTGCGCCGAGTTATACTGGTCACAGGTTCTGGTGGATGCTTCCACTAGGGCGCGCCCACTTTGGAGGTGCATTCTGGGAGTTAAATTTCAGCACCTCGCTGGAGACAGTAAATTCAAGTATCAGGAACGCGAGGGCGGAAGGAGTGGGTAGCGCAGAGCAGACGTTGGTGATTAGTTAAATGTTGGCGTCTTCACACCTCAAGCATTAGAATTACAAACACACAGTTGATTGCGTGTGTGTGTGTCTGTCTAGAGACAGACAGAGAGAGAGAGACTAGAGACAGACAGAGAGAAAATACAGTGGAAAAACAAAGCGGCGTCGGCGTCAACTTCGGAGGCTACGCTCGCTGATGGTTAAGGGACGTACGGGATGTACCGCTCGTTAGGTTCCCATAGTGGAAACACAGCAATATACTGTGATCAGTACCAAACTAAAATGTGCACAATGGATATGACATGCAAAACAATCTAATAGTGATTTTCTTTGATCAATATTTCTATTGCAATTTAATATACACATTTTTTTAAGTTCCTTTTCTTCTGTAGTACTCGGTACAAACAAGCTATAAAATATAATGAGAAGACACTGGACATTGGACAGAATACAGTAATTTCCCAGCAAAGGAACTGTAAAGAGATGTTCAGATTCTGTCTCTGACCTCTGTCATGGGTGGCCTCTTCTTCCTCTTCTTGTCCAAACACCTGCAGGCCAGAGCCACCATCTCGAGACAGCCAGCAGGATCTGCAGAGCCCCCTACAGACACAACAGCAGAACAGCAGCTGCAGGACACAACAGCATGATAGAATGGATATAATCAGACCTGCAAACACTGACCTGTGATCAGCCGGTGGTCCAGCTGTTTCCTCCAGGCTACTGGAGACGAGCCAGTCGGACTGTCCTCCACCTTGTCCACCAGGTCCTTCTACACAACCGAAACACAACACTGAGTTTTTACAGAAACCTTTCAAGAGTATGTGAATATTGAGTCCTGATGCACTTGCTGGCCGGTATGTATCTGAAGCAGACTGGCCAGCAGGTGCACCACAAGCTGTGTGTGGTCTGACCAGGAATCTCTCTCCAGACTTCCTGTCTTTCTCCAGTGCTCGACGGCCAGTCAGGACCTCCAACAACACCTGAAACCCACACACGTCGGTTTATTAGGAACCCCTGTGTTCATCTAATCCAACAGTCCTGCAGTAAATCCTCCTTCATGCAGGTGATAATGTTCAGCTTGTGTTCACACTGTTTCAGAGAGGTGCTGACCCCACTTCAAAACCCCAAAGTCCAATTACTGGAAACAGAGGGAGAAAAACCACAGAGAGAATACAGCAGAAAGGGAGTGGTGTTTACATTTTTACAAACTATGTAATAAATCTGTCCATGTGTAAAGAGAAAATCATTTTTGATAAAAAGCTGCCCAAGTCTAAACAGTGGATCCACTGTCATGTTTGCACCACCAAGTGTTAGCTGACACAGCTGCAGTGGTTATTCATGAATATTTAGGACATGTTTTAAAGAGTGTGGGAGTTCCACTGTTGCTCTCACTACTACACTCTGCAGCTAATTATTCAGTGCACTATACTGACCCTTCTTATTAATGCTGAGAAATGACCAGAGTTAACATTCAACAGGTTACAGCTCTTCTTTGATGATCTAACCTGCCTACAGTGCTTTGCTAAAGTATCAGCCTACAGTTCCCATCAGGCGCTGCGGTGTCTCACCACACCAAAGCTGTAGACATCCACAGATGTCCCCAGCTCTCCGTTCCTCACATACTCATCGGGCAGGTATGCTAGAGTCCCTCTGACCGTTGCTGTTTTCCCAATGGATGCCGTCTGAGCCGTCGAGCGTCCTGTCGAGCCACAAGAGACAAACCGAGCCAGACCAAAGTCAGCCAGCTTTGCCACCAGGTGCCGGTCTAGCAGGATGTTTGAACTGACAAGACACAGACAGAACAGTTGTAGAAAGATAAAAGCTGTGCTATGGTAAAAATAAGAGTAGTTAGAATTAAGAAACTGAAATAATGTGTGAATAGAGAGAAAAGAGTTATAGAGGGTGGCAGTTGGAGACATAAGGCTCTCATTAACCACAGTAACAGAAACTTAACATGAAGAGGTTTGATGATAAAGTCCTCTGAAACACAAGCAGGAGAAGATGTATGATTATAACCAAGTGATAGAAAACACCAGTTCCATTAGTCAACTTGTAAGTCAACAGAATATTTGTCAGCTGTTTTTAAAATTAATTGATCGAACATCCTCTGGTGTCAGTTTCTCCGGTGTCTCAGAGTTTCTGCCAAAGAAACTGGAAATTTGAAGTCATGTGATGATGTCTTGTCAGACTTCAACACTTATACTGTTTTCAGGCATTTAAAGATGAACTATCGATTTGTAGTCATGTGATCTTGACCTCTTGACATCTCCATGGATGAGCGGTCGGTGTCCATCAGGCGGGGAGTGGAGGAACTGCAGAGCTGTGGATGCTCCTTCAACAGCAGTGACTCTCTGGGACCAGGACAGGATTGTACTCTCCTAAACACACACAGCATCATATCAGGGTCAACAGTTGGATAACAACACACACACACACACACACACACACAGTGTCTGTGAGTGAGCTTCCATCCAAATGTAGCCCAGGTTTTAACTGAAATTGAAGATCATTTTCATGTCTGGAGTCCTGTCTCCACCCCCTGCTGCTGTGTGGATCTGAGCAGGCAGCCACAGGTGGAGCAAAGTCTCCAGTCACTGCCACTGAATATTCACTAAGCCTGTATTTAACTTTTACACCTGAGCCAAGACTCAGAACTTTTGTAAAGAATTTTAGTTTTGCACTGTTTCCACATAGGCGTTTTTATGCACAGACTGAAAATGTGAATAAACCTGGTGGATGGAAACAAACCTGTGTCACAGTGTATATATATCTGTGTGTGTGTATGTGTGTGTTACATTGTGTAGCTGGTCCTCCAGGGATCTGTTGTGCATGTAGCTGTAGATCAGACACACTGATCCTCCTCCCTCAGTGAAACCCAGCAGGTCCACAATGTTGGGATGTCTGAACCTGAACAGAAAACAAGAAAAACAGGGTTTTACAGTAAGAATATAATATATGATAAAATGAACAAATGCTACGTTTCTGTGGACCTGAAAGAAAACTAAGCATTTAGTATCTGACTAGCAATTGGCAGGAAAGACTACAGTACTGAGACATCTGGTGGCTCTCACCTGCTGAGAACGTCCACCTGAGAGGACAAGCGTAACGTGCAAAGGACAGCGGGTGAGATAACACATTTCATATATCTTTCATATTTCTCACTTGGCTGCATCTGCAGCGTCCCCAGTATTTTGCTACTGTTGTTTCAGTCTCTTCTCAACATTTACATTTCCAATCCACATGGTTGTATTAAAAGCTAAATACTTTGCATCAAATTCTTAGAGCTGAGATGGGGCTGTGTGCCGTCGTGTTTACCTCAGGGACTGAACTCAGGAATGTTACTCACTTTGACAGTTGGTCCACTTCAGTGTGGAAACTCTCCTTCAGCAGAGTCCAGTCCAGCAGACAGTCCTACAACAGGAAGAGCAACAACACAGACCAATCACAGGGCGCATCTTGTCAACAACAACACAAATCAGTTGACCTTCTCACAAGGTTTCATGTCAATAAAAACTTCGTAAGTTGAAAGCATTTAGCATTTCTCAGATTAGGACAGTAAATCTGAATTGAATTGAAGGAAAGGAGCCTCCTGATTGACTGAGTGGAGACCCAACCGGCAGGGTCACTGGTCAATCAGCTGATTGCTGTCCTGATGATCTGATTGATCCGTTTGTCCCCAGAATGTCAGACACTGGAGAAAAGTCCCACTGTGACTCTCCAGAGCCAAAGGTGGCGTCTCCACACATCTCACTGTGTCCAACCAACAGATCCACAGAGACTCAGCTGATTCTCATGTCTGACAAAGAAAAACATCACCTCCTCACATTAAAGAAGGTGGAACCAGAACATGTCGGTGACTGTTGCTTCTAAATAGCTGAGGTTCATTTTCTACCAGTGAACTGACTCATGGCTGCAGCTCTAGGTCACTGAATGGCTTCATGAGGACGACACAATGGGACAGACACAGTGGGTCGGACACAGTGAGGGGATCTGGTTTGGAAGGAGGAGGCTTCCTCCCTCCGACAGAGGAGACTTGATGCTGCTCTGTGGACACGGCCCTGACGAGGCCCTGCTTGGTGCTGGGTGGGGCTTTGTCCTGTCAGCTGTCACCAGTGTGTGTGTATGCGTAGTAGTAGAGCAGCGTGTATGAGTGGATTACTCTGAGCAAACAGGAAGAATGAGTCAAGCCACATGATCAGGATCAGTGACTGGGACAACACAAACCTCACATCACACACACTCACTGCTCTGGGCTATTTAACAAGTTCAAGACATGAATGAATGAAGAACTTGATTTATGTGTCAGAACCGAGGCCACATGGGCTCACAAGTCACTGCCTACATTAACCGTCAGAGGGAAGGAAGACCAAAAGAAACTGGAAACATAGTAAGGTGACCTATTTAAACACCCTCATAAGCAGCTGTATCAAAGGTCTTGAATATGAACACAAACTGCATTAACTTTTAAGTTTAACTTGAAGACCATGATAATAAAAAGGTCATTTCATTCTCAGACTTCCTTCAACTCACGCAGGAGACACTCTGTGTCCTCTGGCCCTGAATGAAAGTTTCCAGTTACCAAAGGTGGGAAACCAGATGTGACCTGGGACAGAACTCTGGGCTGAAACCACCATTCAGTGTCTTTTTCATTCACCATCCCTGTGAGCATCACATTCATCCTGTGACAGTGAGTCATGTGTTATCTGCATTGTGATTGGCTGACCTGTTTGAGTCTCTTGACAGCACAGTCGGTGTTCCTCAGGGTTGCTCTGTACACAACTCCAAACCCCCCCTCCCCCACATGCAGGGAGGGTGAGAACCCCCCTGTCCCAGCATGTACCTCTTCATATGACCAGCACATCACCCCGCTTCTGCTGTCACAGGCCGCCACTGGGGGGGGCTGAGGAACAACATCATTATCACTATCATCATTATTATTATTGTTAACATCATGCTGTGTGTGTCTATGTGTTACCTGGGTGGGTTGGTGGCGGTTGGACTGCAGAATGGAAGGGGGCGGGGCAGGCCTGGGAAGACCTCCTCCTTTATCTACTGAATAGACAAGCAAGCATCGTCATGGAAACTATCATAAACATGCCGATATGATTATAAAACTTTCAGTTACATTAGGTTTAGCCACACAAACTGTTTAGTTAGGTTTAGGCTAGGCTAACCAGAACACATTGGAAATTCCTGGACGAGAAACGCGAATGAAGCCACTCAGGTCGACTTATCACAATGGCCGTATCGTAATTACGTACAACACTCCCCCTGTAGCCCCTCATCCCCCGACCAATGCAGCCCCGTGCATTAAAACACAGCAAGGAGTTGCATTTTTCCAGAATAATGTGAACGTACCGTCACACTCCGTCATAATGGCTGCTGCTCTGGTTCTGTTATGTACTGATATCAGGAGACAGCTTTTGCCTCGACGAGTAATATCGTCATGTTTTAATATCACGAGATGTCATGGCACAAGATCTGGTCACACCCCTATTCATTGTTGGTTTTAATCTCTGTATGGAGAATGCTAAAAATACTATTAATATAGAACATGACTGGCCTTGTGCTTTGAGTTAATACCACACAAACAGCTATAATTTTTCATGTTTTTATTGAGCCCTTAAACATTCAAAGTGCTGGTGGAAAAACTAAGTGAGCGCTTGGCTGTGAGAAGTGTTTGAAGCTCCTTTGGCAGCAATAATCTCAAACAAGCACTTCCTGTAGGTGTGGATCAAACCTGCACAACATTCAGGAGGAATTTTGGACCATTCTTCTTCACAACTGTGTACTGTGCAAATCTGGGTGGGTGACAAAATTGTATCCCTGATACTGGGTCCCTGACACTGTTCTTTCTGAGGGAAATCACCTGTTTGAGTTACCTGTTGTGCTCAGTATACAGGTGCTCAGTGTGGGAGGGGCCTCCGATTTGGGAGGAGGGTCGAACTGAGAGAAGGAGACAGGGGGAGGATGAGGAGCAGTGGGACAAGGAGGAGAGGGAGAGGAGGAAGATCTCAGGCTGGAGATCCCTGCAAAAGAGAGACAAAAAGCTAAACGTTAAAGGTCATTAGAGGTCAGAGGTCCAGAGGTTACCAGAAGCCAGAGGTAATCAGAGGTTGTCAGACGTCATCAGAGGTAAACTCACAGCCCAGGATGACATCACGTGGGCGGAGCAGCTGCAGACAGTCTAACAGGTCAATCAGCTCCCCAACTCGACCGTTCCTGCTCTCCCATTGGTTCATCACCCAGTCGGTCCGCCTCTCCCTCCTCTCAGCCAATCGTACAGTGGTCTGATCACTGAGCACTGCTGAGGCTACAAGAGAGACAGGAGGTTACTGACCCAACCATCACAGTGCAGCTGATCAATTACTTACCACACCTGGCTCACAATCTGTCAGTAAACGTATGAGACCTCCTCTGATCTGTCAGTTTCTTAATTATGAGTTCTTATGAACAGTATCAACTGTGAAACTCCTTTTTCTGAAAACTGATAGGGAGTCAAATGTCAATCAGTGACACTTCTCCACTGTTTTCATTACTGAAAATTATTTCATGAGTAGCTTTAGTCATAAGCTCTCCCAACATGCCAAATGTTCACCATGTTGCTCTGATCAATAACCACAATGAGATGAAAAGTGACCCATCAGATGGGATCCTGATCTCCTGATCAGTAGTTATTACAAAACACAGTCCGGTCAGTCTACACATAAGGATCTTCTGGTGAGATAAATGCAGACTATAAGACAAGCTCACATCCATAATAATAGTTTTTTATTTGTTTGTAGCATCATCACTTGGCTGTGTAGTCTCAGTGTGGATGTGTTAATGTCTGTAGTCACCAGCCTCTGTCCCTGCACACACAAGACACACAAAACCACCACAAAGAGACACTAAACATGTCTGTGAGCAGGGGCTATTGTTTAATAATCCATCCATAGCAGCAGAATATTTGTAGTTGCAGACAAATTCATTGATATTACATGATTTTGGAACATTTACAGTTATTATTTGTTTGCTTGTTTAGAGCGACAAACAGACAGGTAAACAGACAGAATGAGAGACAACTAACTCACCGAAACGTGTCCAGTCCAGGTCTGACAGTGTGTCCATGACCCGGCAGAACTCCCAGTGGACGGAGGACGGCAGGTTGTACAGAAACTGTCCCCTCGGGTTTCCTTCCGACATGTTTTGACTTCAAACTGTACCCTTTTTCAGAACCAAGCCGGACTCATTCTGAAGCTAGCGTGCTAAAACCTAACGGTGGGTTCACGCCGATTCTCAGTGGGACCCGGATCAAGTCCGGAACAAAGCGATAAAAACTTATACAAAAACTGCTCAGTTTCACGGTTCAGCTCCTCCGCTGTTTCCGCCCGCTGCATCACAGGCTCTCCGCAATAAGAGTCGCTTCCGCTCTGCTCTTCCACAATAAAATCCTGCGTTTTTCTGCTAGCTAGGTTAGTTAGCATTTAGCACAACCATTTTTTCAGGTGTACCTTTTTTTTTTATTTAGCCGTTGTGTTATTTATGGTATATAAAATTTCAATAACACAATTTTTATTACAGGAAAAGTGTATAAACTATTTTTAGCTAAGGCGAAGCAGCTAGCCTCAGTAGCTTGAGCGCTGACACCACATTAATGTTAACTATTTTCTAGTTCTTTAGAATTTTCCATGCAGTTAATTTTTTTCCAGAAAGTATAGATTTGACGGTGTAATAATTTATATGGTGAGGTTCCAGTTCCAGTTCTGGTAACTCAGTTTTGTAAGTACTTTGTAGCTAGGGGACTTGGATGAGAACAATCTGATTGATTCAACTTTCAATACAACCACATGAATGTCATCACACACAGTAACATTACCCAGTTTGTGTTAACATAGCACTGACACAATACTGGATTAAGTTTATCCTGTACCAGTGGGTTGATTTGACCCATTTTTGTGGGGTTTTTACCCAAGCTAAATTGTGGTGATTTAATAACAAGTTTGACCTTGGAAATCGCTCACAAATTTACTGTTAGTTGTACAAAATAATGTGCATGTGACATTGAAAACCACTTAGTAACAAATAGTGACATATTGATTTTAAAAACTCAATACCAGTTCACTGTCATAGATGCCATATCTTAGTATAAATAATTTACAATGAATATAAAAAAAGACTTGTAGCCTACCTGTGAACACTGCAGTAACTTCAGTCCAGTGTGGTGTTGGTGCTGTGCTGAGCCAAACTGGACCAATTCTAACATAATGATATTTAAGTGTGGCTCATTAATAAACTGAAAATATGAGCAGAAATGATCTTTCACTGAACTCCTTAATCAAAATCAGAATCAGAATCAGCTTTAATGGCCAAGTACGTTTGAATATAGAAAGAATTTGACTCTGGTGCAGAGGCTCTCAATGTGTTTTTTAAGGCAAGAGGAAATAGAAAATAACAATGACAATAAAAATAAATAAATAAATGTGTGCATTAAAATATGTGCAATAAAAATAGTAAAAGAAAGAGGAAAGAAGAGATACTGTCTATAAATATATGTACATATTTATGCATTACAGCATAAGAGCTTGCAGATGTATATACAATGGTTTTATTTACAGTTTACTGCACTGTGGTGATTGCTGTTTCCAGTTATACAGTCATGGGTTAAGTGTTCATCAGAGCGACAGCCTGGGGGAAGAAACTGTCCCTGTGCCTGGTTGTCTTGGCGTACAGTGACCTGTAACGCCGTCCAGAGGAGAGAAGCTCAAACAGTTTGTGTGTAGGGTGTGAGGGGTCTGCAGTGATCCTCTCCACCCTCCTTTTGACCCATGAGGTGTACAGGTCCTCCATGAAGGGCAGGCTCACACCAGTGACCTTTTCTACAGTCCTGACTGTCTGCTGAAGTCTGTACTTGTCCTGTTTGGTTGCTGAGCCAAACCAGACAGTGATGGAGGTGTAGAGAACAGACTCGATGATTCCTCTGTAGACCTGTATCAGCAGCTCCTGAGGCAGGTCGAACTTCCTGAGCTGGCGCAGGAAGTACATTCTCTGCTGTGGCTTCATGGTGATAGTGCTGATGCTGGACATTTACTTCAGGTCCTGGGAGACAGTGGAGCCCAGGAACTTGTAGGACTCTACTGCTGACACAGTGCTGCTGAGTATGGTGAGGGAGGTAGGGTAGGGTGGGGAGCTCTTCCTAAACTCCACTGTCATCTCCACTGTTCTGAGCGTGTTCAGCTCCAGGTTGTTACGACAACACAACCGGCTGTTCAACCTCCCGTCTGTACGCTGACTCGTCAGATGAGACCAATGATCGCTGTGTCATCTATGAACTTTAGGAGTTTAACAGAGGGGTCCTCTGAGGTGCAGTTGTTGGTGTAGAGGGAAAACAGCAGAGGGGAGAGCACATATCCCTGGGGGGTACTTGTGCTGAAAGTCCCGGGATGTGGTTTTCCCCAGCCTCACCTGCTGCTTCCTGTCTGTCAGAAAGCTGGTAATCCACTGACAGGTGGGAGCAGGCACAGTGAGCTGGGGCAGTTTAGAGTGGAGGATGTCTGGGATGATGGTGTTGAATGCTGAGCTGAGGTCCACAAAGAGGATGTTGTTTTTAAAGTGCTATATAAATAAATTTGATTTGATTTGACCCGAACATAGGTCCCCAGGGAGTCGAGGTGTTGCAGGATGAAATGCAGTGCCATGTTGACCGCATAATCCTCTGACGTGATTGCCTGGTAGGCAAACTGAAGGGGGTCCAGCAGTCTACGATGCCCTTCAGGTGGGCCAACACCAGTCTCTCACAGGACTCCATAACTACAGATGTCAGGGCGACAGGTCTGTAGTCCTTCAGTCCACTGATGGAGGGTTTCTTGAGGACCGGGATGATGGTGGAGCATTTGAAGTGGGGGGGGACGTCACACAGCTCTAGTGATCTGTTGAAGATAAGTCTGAAGATGGGGGCCAACTGATCAGCACAAGCTTTCAGGCGGGGGGTGGGGGGTCACACTGTCCGGGCCTGGTGCCTTTCTGAACTTTAGTTTCTTGCAAAGGCCACACATCCTTTTCACAGATCTTCAGGGTTTGAGGTGAGGTGGGTGAAGGGGGACGTTCTACCTCTCAAACCTACAGTAAGACACATTCAGGTCATCTGCCAGTTGATGGTCTTCCAAAGTAGGGGTGGGGGTGGTTTCCTGTAGCCAGTGATGTTTTTCAGGCTTCTCCACACAGACAAGGGGTCATTGGTTGAAACCTGGTTTCTCAGCTTTTCAGAGTCGCTCCTCTTTGCTGCTCTGATCTCCCTTGTCAGTGTGTTCCTTGCCTGGCTGTACAGGATCCTGTCCCCATGTCTGTAGGCCTCCTCTTTGGCACAACAAAGCTGCTTGAGTTTGAACCAAGGCTTGTTGTTGTTGTATGTTCAGAAGGTCTTGGTGGGCACACATACATCCTCACAAAGCTGATGTATGGTGTCATGGCATCAGTGAGTTCATCCAGGTCTGTAGATGCAGCCTCAGATACACTCCAATATTATCCTTATCCATGCAAAAAGTGTGCTGTACATGCCACAATTATTACTATTTCTAGTCAGCTGATGCTTGTACACTATTTGTTCATTATTAATGATGACCACTGTATTTAAGTGTCATTTGTTTCCTGCATTACTATTTTATTGTTAATTTATTGTTTTAATCATTAGTCATTCATATCTTAAATATTTTATTTCTATATAGCCTACATTTTGTCTGGCATTTGATCATATTTTGCTTCATTAATGCTGGTGAGGTTATTGCTTTCCTTCTGTATGGATGAGTTTATAATTACTCTGCTGTTGTACTTGCGAATTTTTAATGCCCACTAAAAGTTTAGCATGTGGAAACAAATACTTTGTTTAATGGGATTCTGGCGAATTAAATTGAAGACATTTAAGATTTGTATATACTGCAAAGAATATCTATCCTAACAATCATAATAATGAGTGATGGAAAACAAAGAATATGTTCTGTAATTCAGTATTAACATTTATACATCTTGTGTCTCTTCCAGTCTGGGGGACCTATACAGGAGGGTGAGGGGCCTTTTGTTCTGTACCCAGGGGCCCACTATCTGCAAATCCGTCCATGCCTGGGCTCAGTTAAAGAACAGAACACAGATGAATGGATTAACCAAATAAAAATAAATGCATTTGTTAAAGTTTGTCTATTTTGAAATATGCTATTGTTTACAGCAAGCAAGAAATATATAAACGACCGTTTACATAAACTGTAAGACTTTTTAAAACCTCCTAAGGGCCTTTTTCTTTATTAAAGGGAGGTTAATTAGATGCTTAGTACAACTGTTACAGATCTGTAGAAACTATGGTGTTTTACAGATTTGGGAGCCGGTCCTGAACGTGTCAGGCTGACCTTTTCTGAGCTCACATCTCGCGCGATTACACCGCCCTTGCGCTGCGTTGACCTCATCTCCATGCAGATCTCGCGGTGTTTGGTCACTAACGGCTGTTGGAAATGGAGTCGGAGGGGGCGGGGTGCAGCAGGAGGGAGCAGAGATGTTTGGAGGGTTTTTTTTAATATAAAATTATTTATTTAAATAAAAATGGCTGCCGTGGAGAGCGGAGAGGAGAGACTGTAAGTAGGGTTTTTACATTTTATCCTCCGTTAAAGCGCTATCGCTGCCGTTGCCTCCGACCGCCGCCGAGCTTTTTCTGTCGTGTGTTTTATTTAAAATTTTTAATTTAAATAAAATTGGCTGCCGTGGATAGCGGAGAGGAGAGACTGTAAGTAGTGTTTTTACATTTTATCCTCCGTTAAAGCGCTATCGCTGCCGTTGCCTCCGACCGCCGCCGAGCTTTTTCTGTCGTGTGTTTTATTGAAGTAAAAGTGCGTTGATTTTCACCCCGGCCTGTCTCGGCGGAGCGGGGTTAGCGGGAATACGTCACCAACTTACTGCTAAGTCTGTACTTTAGCCGCTGCTGTAGCCGGAGCTGAGGTTAGCTTTACGTTAGCCCATTCTCCGTGCTTCGCCCAGCCGCCCTGAACTGTAAACAACTCAGTTGTAAACAACTCAGGCCGAGGTTCGGCGGCGATGTGTACGTTACAAACATCGCATCCTCGCTTACCCGCGGTGTGTCCACCCTCCTCCGCCAGACAAGCAAGGAGCTAACGAACTGCTAGCTGGTTAGCAAACAGAGTTTTCATGTGAAGGGAACAGACTGTCCTCAGTAGCCCGGGTTTACCCCCTATCTTAACCTGATTATTTGTCTAGTTAGCATCAGCTACCTGAGTGCCGCTGAGCCAGGCACCTGTGTGTATGTGGCCCAGTTTTCTCTGCAGCTCACTTCCTGTTCCTGTGGAGGCGTCTTCACCTCTACCTGCAGCTTCATCACAGCGCACACACAGAGGGGTGGAAGAAGAACTCAGATCCTTTACTTAAGTAAAAGTAGTAATACCACAGTGTAGAAATGTGCTTTCATGGTTCCATCAGATCACAGACCAGGTAGATTTCTTTAACTTCTGGAAAACTGTTCTAGCACCATTGGTTCAAACAGGTTAATAGTGTGAAAGCTTCTATAATGCGTGTCTTCTAAGCAGTGATGGAAAACATCAAAATATACATGAAGTACCGAAGTACCAGTAGTCATTCTGCAGAATGACCCATTTCCTATTAATGTCTATGATACTGTTGGATCATAATGACTGGTCCATTACTGTGTTAATCACCTTAACAAATACAGATAAATGCTGATTGTTTACTCCATGCAAACTTTTCATTATTGATTAATCAAATGATTATCTTCATTAATCGATTATTTGTTGTGTCAAGGAAACTGTTAGTTGTACTGCGGTGTATTCCTGTGTTTGTTTTTCAAAGACATTCCGTTTAAAATCACAATTGACACATTTGAGAAGCTGGGACCAGGAAATATTTGGCTTTTTTTTTTACTAAAAGGATTGGTTGATTATTAGCATTGTTGGTAATGAGCTTTCTGTCATCAACTTATTGATTAATGGACTAGCTGTTGCAGCTCTCCAGCAAAGAAAAGGGTGGTAAAAAGAAAACAAACAGGCCACAAATACAAAGCTGTCAGCAGCAGACCAGTGTACAGAGCTATGCTTCATTTGCATTCATGTAAACTGAGGCATATTTACATTAGGCATCCAGTTTATTAGGTACAGCCATCTACATCAATCTGATCCAACAGCTCTGAAATAAATTTGCTTTCATAATGGTTCTCTTTTCTACAGTTAAAACAACTAGTTGATTCATTGATCACTTGATTCATGAATAAATAATCTGCAACAGTTTTGTTAATTTGATAGAAAATTTGGTCAAGAAAATG